AAATAACAAAAAATTATAAATTACTCTACCAATATCACAGAATTCCATTGTAATGTAATAATGTAAAACAAAATAACTTTAGGTTTTATATATGCATTTTGAAATAACCAAAAATTATAAATTACTCTACCAATATCACAGAATTCCATTGTAATGTAATAATGTAAAACAAAATAACTTTAGGTTTTATATATGCATTTTGAAATAACCAAAAATTATAAATTACTCTACCAATATCGCAGAATTCCATTGTAATGTAATAATGTAAAACAAAATAACTTTGGGTTTTATATATGCATTTTGAAATAACCAAAAATTATAAATTACTCTACCAATATTGCAGAATTCCACTGTAATTTATTAAGTTTACTAACTAAACTGTATTTGGGTCTAAAAAAATATCGTTCTTCGAACAACATTTTCACTTACACCTTCTTTCCAAGATTGGAGACAAAAGAAAAATAATTTTGGGAAATTCCCACTTTCAAGAGGCTGAGAAAACCACATGGGGTGAAATTCTGGGCTTTTGATTGTTTATAAACACATAATAGAGTGAAGCGCGTATATGTAAGTATTTCCAAAAACGGAAGAGGTGGGTGGAGCCACTGTTTTTGATTTGCTAAGTATAGTGATATCTCGGCAAATAGAAATAATAGGAGGTTCTTATTTTAAATTCTAGCTTGTCAGTATCGGTAATTTGAGTTTATTATTCATAAGAAACTATAAACATGGAATTTGGACATCACGAACATCTAATTTGAACCAAAGCTGCATTCAACATACCACGTGACACACAAAAACGAATACTTAGGTGTGTGTTTTTTAATACTTATTTTTAAATTAAGAAATTAATTAATGTATAATACTAAAATTTTGATTGTAAGTCTACAAACATGATGACATGCCCTTTGACCCCTGACTACAGGAAAACCCGTAGCAATAGGGTTAAGGGAACTTGGTAAAGGAAAACACAAAATGACGTACTAGAATAGATATTAATATGATACCAATCAATGATAAATGACAAGAAGATAACTATTCTGACAGCTGGTTGGCATCAGATATAAAATTATCTCTTAATAGTATCTTAACCTAGTCAATTAACAATCGTAATGTAGTACATAGTGTCATACAATGGTATCCTCTAGATTGAAAGGAAAGCCCCCCTGGTGAGCAGAGCAAAGATAGCCCATTATGTAGCTCTGTGCTTAATTACAAAAAAAAAATTAAAAGGAAAGAAAACACACATACAAGTCTTGGATTTTTTTTTAATATTTTATTATTTTAATTGGGCAAAAGAACATACTTCATGACAACAAATTCGAACACCATTTTACAAAAGTATACGTTCACAAGAGTCCAAGGATAACATTTCAATGGAGATAACTCTTACATAACCACACTACACTGCTGTAAATATGGTGTGCTTTATTTATAGTATCATTAACATCTGATCAAAGCAGACTACCTGCTTACACAGGCGCTTGCAGGAAGGGGCAAGGGGAGAGTCGTCGTC